CCCGCGTCTCCTGCATCGGCAGGCGGACTCTCAAGCACTGCGCCACCAGGGAAGCCCTGACTTGTGCTTTTTATGTCCTAAAATTTTTTGCCTAAAAGAACATCATACAGATTTTCTATTTTTTTTAGAAGTTTTAAGTTTTTGCTTTTACGTTTAGGTCTGTGATCAATTGTGAGTTAATTTTTGTATAAACGAGGTAAAGGTTGCAGTTTATTTTTCTATATAAAGATATTCAGTTGTTTCCGTCATTGTTTAAAAGTCCACCATTTTCTTCATCAAATTACCTTGGCAGTTTTGTCAAAAATCAACTGACCAAATATGGTGGGTGTATTTCTGGACTCTATTCTATTTCATTGATTGATATATTTATCTTTACACAAAAAACACACTGTCTTCATAACTGTAACATTTTAATAACATAGTTTAAGTCCTCTGGCTTTATTTTTCTTTTTCAAAATTGTTTTTGGCTACTCTAGATCCTTTGTATTTTAATAGAAATTTTAGAAACAGCTTTTAATTTTTACATAAAGCCTATTGGGTTTTTTATTAGAATTGAATTAAATTTAGAGATTGATTTGGGAAGAACTTACATCTTAATCATATTGAATCTTCTGATTCATGAACATGGTGTATCACTCCATTTATAAAGTCTTTAATTTCCCTCAGGAATCTTTTGTAGTTTTTATTGTATACAAATTTTTATTAAATTTATCTCCAAATATTCAATGGTTTTAGTGCTATTTAAATGACGTTTATTTAAATTTCAATTTCCAGTTGTTCCAATCAACACCATTAGTCATATCTGTTTACCTTGTACCCCATGACCTTGCTAATAAACTCACGAAATAATTTTAGTAGCTTTTCTGTAAATTCCTTAGGGTTTTCCACATATATAATCATGTCTGTGAATAAGAATTGCTTTATTTTTTCTTTCTACATGACTTTTATTTCTTTTTCTTGCTTTTTGTACTGTCTAGGACTTCCAGTACAATGTTGACTAGAAGTTGTGAGAGTGGAGAGCTCTGCCTTATCCCAATCTTAGTAGCAAATACAACTATTTAAAAAAAAAGAGCAGGTGTTTATTAGGATGTGGAGAACCACTGTGTACTGTTAGTAAAAATGTAAAATGGTGCAACTGCTATGGAAAACCATAGGGTGAAAAATTAAAAATGAATTACCATATGATTCAGCAATTCTAATTCTAGGTATACAACTGAAAGAACTGGAAGCAGGCTCTCAAGAGATATTTGCACAGTCATACTCATGGCAGCATTATT